TTCTAATAAAAAGGAATTGTTTTGTTTCCAGTCTTCCAGAGTTTCCACTACAACAGGAACATGTTCTTCAACGAAATCTTTGAGCTCAGCCTCATTCAAGAAAAGCAGAGGACTGAGAACGAGGCTTATCCGTTCTTACGATTTGCTAGCATTCAACAAGAATTATACAAACTTTTTGGAATGATTATGAGGTACACTTTACTGCTTTTTGGGATTATAGTAGAAGGATTGTTGTTTTGCATCTATCACACATAATGTTCAATTTACCATAATTAACATTTTAGGATATGGAAAGTATTTGTGATCTAACTATGGCCTATGGGAAATGAAAAAGATAAACGATGGAAGCTGAGCAGATGCTGCAGATTGATCTTACTTCAGTAGTTCAGTCATGCCCACGATAAGGATGGCCTACTGGAGCCAAAGAGACTTTTACGGATGATGAAATTCCAAAAGTAACCCTTTAGGAAATTTCCCCTACTTGTGTCTATAACTAAGCTATTCTTATGGAGTAGAATATATAATTAAAAATATTAATATATAAAAAAATATGCAGATTGAGTTGAAACATTAGAAGTTGAGCAAGTTCGTTTTAAGGAAATCTTCTACCCGACACTATTTAATGTGAAAGGTAAGAGATATGAAATAATTACGGAGTATATAAATTAAGGCGAGGATGATCATACCTGGGTTAAATTAAGGGGTAAGACTGCGTACATCCGACCCCCCCTTACCCCATCGTAGGTGGGAGCCTTTGCGGCATTGGGGTAAATGAAAAAGAAATGAAATGATGATCATACCTGGGTTTTTAGCTCTGAAAACATAGGACCCTGCATTCCCTATTCTCAACCCTATAACCCTATTCTAAATTAACTAAGGATTACATTTCACTTATGAATATTACCCAATCGGGCACTTTAATTATTGAGGTGCCCGAACCTATGAATTTTACATATAATAATTACAAAGTATAAACAATTTTGGTTAATCAGACCTGCAATGTGAAAAGAAATACCAAGTTAAAGTATATCTCACAATACAATCATTTTTGTTGGGGCCTGGGAATAAGATTATTGGAAACAACTGGCAGAATGATCGAGATGAAGGTACACTCGAAAATGCATTTTTTTTTACTCAATTTGATTTTTTTTTTTTTTGAAATATTACTTAATTTTCAAACAAGTGACCTACAAAATGATCAAAACAAATTATCTGCAAAATTAGTGACATTTCAGCAAAAAATACTGCGGAGAACTATTTGTTTTTTGTTGAAAAAATAATCTTACAGCAGCATCTAATGAGTTATGATTAGTTATTCTTGAAAAAATCATATATTTTGTTGCGATCAATTGCTACCAAGTGTGAATGATTAAAAGATAAGCAATAATGATGGTATCTCAAATAATTCCACAATAAATTTTATATAACTGGAAGTTTTTAAAAAATTGCAATTTGCTCTATAATATACTCCCTCTCCCAAAAAATAATTCTCATTTTGACTTGGCAAGATTATTAAGAAAGTGAGAATGAAGTGGAAATGTACAGTTGTAGTTAAGTAAAAAAAAGGTAAATGAATGTTAGTCACACAAAACTGTTCAAAAATGTAAGTGAGAAGAATTTTTGGGATATCCCAAAATGACGAAAGAATTTTATGGGACAGAAGAAGTACATTTATTTGCTTTATGTATGCACTTACTACACACTTTTAAATGTTTCTTTCCATTTTATCATACAAGTATTTCAATGTTCTTATAATAAATGTGGTTTACATTCTTACATTAATATTACACAAATACGAACAATAATTACTACAAAATAGTGTCATGGTAACTTACGTTTAAAAACTGAACACAAGTTACTATGATTTCATTACTACTTTAGTCACTAATAGAATCATATTTTTCTAGACATTATTTTAAATAATTTTTTTTACATTACGCCATAAATAAAAATAAAGTTTTTTTTTTATCTCGTGCATCGCACGGGTACGATGCTAGTTAGTAGTTTAAATGTTATACGAAGTAATACACATGCATAGGCGCAGAGTTGATTAATTTAGGAATACAACCTATTTCATTTTAGGGAGTGTTTGCGATTGCTTCAACTTTAAAAAAGTGATTTTTTAAAGTGATTTTGGGAAAAGTGATTAATAGTAGAAGTTGGTAGTGTTTGAGAAAAAAGTGATTATGAAAAAGTAAAAGTTGGTAGTGTTTGGTAAAATAAGTACTTTTTGTGTAATAGAAAAAGTGAGAAGCAGTTTAAAGCACCCTTCTACCTGCTTCCAGCTTTTAGCTTTTAAGTGATTAATTTAAGCAGAAACTATCATTTGAAAACACTCTTTTCAACTTTTTTTAAGCCAAAAGCTGAAAAACGCTTTTTTTAATCAACCCCAAACACTCCTTTAGTTTTGTTAGAGAACCACTAAATTTCCGAGATATTAGTACGGTTATACTTATGTGCTCTCTAATTAGCACGTGACGGATATAATAAAACCTTTATAGCCTTGATGCATGAAACAATAGAAAATACTCAAAAGTCAAGTATCTTGTGGTCTGATAACATCATCACTCCCAAAGAGAATGTCACATGTTCGAATCCTATCCCAGTTCAAAGATGTTGACATTAACATTGAGCAGATACTATGTAAATTAGAAAGAATTGTTCAAAAAAAAATAGAAAATACTCAAAAAAGAACAACTTTTTTTGTGAGAATACAACCAAGGATAGAGACTGTATATGGTATTTGTGTGGATGGAGTAGTCAGTAGTCGCTGTGTTTTTGTTGTGGATTAATGTAATTTAATTAATAGTGATTGAGTAATAGTGACTAGCTTATCTTTTTTGAAACTTTATAGCTTGTGAATTATATAAGTGAGTATTAATTTATTGAGTTTTTTTCCTAATTAATGTTAATTAATTAATTAATTACGAAATTAGGGCTGGGTTAAAAGTATTTACCAAAATACTGCTGGATTAACCATGGTCGGGGTAAGTCGCCCAACGGTTGGGCGACTTATAAGTCGCCAAACGGTTTGGCGACTTATAAGTCGCCCAACCGTTGGGCGACTTACCTATTAAATAGGCAGACGGGCTGGGTCTGCGAGATAGAACGCAGTTTTACTCCCCCAAACCCCCAGCTGCAGCGACGAACGAAGGACGAGCGAACCCATCTCTGGCGACGCTCCATCTCCAACTCCGGCGAAGTTCCATCTCCGGCGACCCCATTCCGGCGAACCTCCATCTCCAGCTCCAACACTCTTTCTTCTTGATTCTAGGTAAATCAAACTCCATTTCATCTCATTTTGAACCTAGGGTTTTGAGTGTTAAAATTTTCGAATTTTTGGATTATGAATTGATTGTGAATTCAGTTGTTGTGAAATGTGGATATGTATGAAATGTTGAAATTTGATTTTAAATTGATTGTAAATTTTAATGTGTATTTTGACATTTGGGCATTTGGATAGACTCGATTGTAGCTAAATTTGGATATTGAAATGTAGACTTGAATGTAGTTATCAAAATTTGGGTAGTTTCATATTGAGATGTGAATTGTTGGTCAATTTCGATTTTTGAATATATTAAAATTTTGGTAGCTTTTTTATTTAGGAAATTTTAATGTGTATAAAGTGTGTATATTGATGCGTACTCATGAATTTTGGACAATGAATTGTTATTAGAATATGGATTTCTCAAACTTCCCAATCGTGTGTCATTGGGGAGGGAACTATTATGAGGATGCTAGGCAAATATGCCATGAAGGTGGTAGAACCAGCTTTGTCATGGTTTCTCGTGGCGCTTGCATGCTCGAGATCCTTCAAAAAATACATGCAGTCACAATGATTCATCCTAGTCGTTCTTTGCGGTTGAAAATGAAATTTCCCATGAACGGGGGAAAGTACATGCTTATGCCCCTCATTGATGAGCTAGCTATAACAAATATGTGGGGCATAATTCAGATGGAGGATATGTCGTCGCTGGAGGTATACATTGAGGAATGCTTTGAGGTTAATGCTACTCAATCGACATCAAATGCTGTTGTATCTAGGCATGATGTCATTTCAGGGGTGAATGCAGGGAAGTTGTCAAAGGTTCCTGTACTAGACATGGTTATACAGGAGGATGGCAGGTATTTGCACAACAGTGCATCATTTGTGGATGGGCAGGGAAGTGATGATGATGCAGACGAGAACATCAATGGTGACGACATGACAGAATCTGATGAAGATGATGGTGATACTGTGACATCAACTGCCCCTTCTAGCCACTTCACTAGAATGTATGATCTCCCTGAAGGCTTTACTGATGCGTGGATGAGTGGATCAGGTGAGAAAAGGTTTACCCCCGATGGTGAGTTTGAGGTCGGTCAACAGTTTGACAACAAAGAACAAGTCATCAATATGGTGAGCTTGTATTCTATCAAACGGAACCAATTCTATCGGGTGATAGAGTCTGATAAACACAAATGGGTGGCACAATGCAAAAGGAAGAAAGAATGTCATTGCCCCTGGAGAATACGTGCCACAAAGAACAAAGGCAACCTTGACACCTTCACAATTGTGCGTTATACTGGACCTCATTCTGCTTCATGTGTAGGCAACATCGACACTACAGATCACGTGGCCTTGACATCAGAATTCATCTGTAAAGATGTGGTTGACATTATTCGCACTGATCCTTCTCTTAAAGTGCATACTATCATCGAGATGTTGAAGGAAAAATATGGGTATACGGTATCTTACCGGAGAACATGGATGGGGAAGCAAAAGGCCATAGCACAAATATTTGGCGGTTGGGAAAAGTCATATTTCGAATTGCCCCGTTTCATGACAGCGCTCCAACATTCTAATCCAGGAACTGTTGTTCAGTGGAGCCTCCATTTTCGCTGACAAGAGCGGTAATGAGGTTCAGGTGCTACACTTGCCTTTGCTGGAGAGGTTTGATGTAGCAGCACAGTTCAGCTGGGGTAGTGCCACCCTGACTTATCTATACAGGCAGCTGTGTCGCGGCTGCCAGAGAGGGAGCACAGAGCTGGGGGGATTTTTGCTACTCCTCCAGATTTGGTCATGGGAGTATATCCACATTGGCCGTCCCATTATAGTCGGATATCATGGCATTGATGGACAGCCACTGCCTGATGAGCCGCCACGTCTGCTAGGACCACATCATGTACGGGGCGAGGATCCTCTAGGCCGTCGGTATGTTTTCAATCGTTTGTATTTATGTGAGTATTTGTTGAATGTTAATAAATTAATAATATCCATATTATTGATATTGTTACATGAATGGTTAGGTGGCTATATGCTGGTCTATCTCGCATGTCATCCGCTACTGGGCTCGGTGTCTACAGGGATGCATTGGATCGGATGTCTGAGGACCAGGTATGGTGTATGTAGTATAACATTAACTAGAATAGGTGTAGAATAAATACTAATTTTGTATGTTTATGAAACAGATCACATGGATGCCGTTTAGACCTGATATGTTAGCAGAGTTGCCCCCAGCTGGACGAGAGCATACTCACATCTGGCGAGCACGTGTCCCGTTGATATGTTTTGACATTGTTGAGCTGCATTTGCCTGATAGAGTCATGCGACAGTTTGGGTTTGAGCAGGTCGTTCCACGTCCTATCGACACTTATGTAGAGCTGCATAAGCTGGATAGGCGTGGGAAGCATACAGAGGATTGGGCACTCAGACATGTCCGATACGTGACTATGTGGGAAAGGAGAGCTGAGCTAGCTGTGGTTGGGACACCCACATATGTGCCATCTGTTTCAGGAGACTACATGGGATGGTACTACAGCATCACTCGGTTATTTGTGTCTCCTTCGTTCAGACTCCCTACTCATCATTATCAGCCTAGCTCCTTGGCTTTGCATCTTACGGTGAGTATATTAGTAATTAGTAAAGTAAGTCATTTTATTTATGTAATACTTGTATGTATTTGAATGTAATTGTAATTGTGTTTCATATTTCAGACACGAGCTTTGCAGCGCATACATCAGCGGGCTACTGCCACTGTGACTGATATTCCTGATGTGGACATGTATGGACAGGCTCTGACAGGCATTGCCTCGTTGTGCTCAGATGTGTTGGGCCGAGTAGACTACGGACATCTTATACACATGCCCCCATCTCAGGAGATGGCATCCACGTCTAGTGCAACCGCGGCTTCATCATCCCAGACGCAACATGAGAGAGTGGTTCTTTAACCACGACAACGCCGTAGGCGTAGACATGAGCAGCAACATCTCCATGACGAAGCTGATGATGAGAACTTGTAGTTTGTCTTTTGTATTGTAGTTTTTCTTATGCAGTAGATGTTGTACGAACAATGTACAAGTTTTGATGTATTTTGTCTTGTTAAGTATTGTATGGTGTATTGATGTGTTCGAGTATGAATATTAGATGATTACTTGTTATGGCATATATGATGATTGTATTGTGTTATTCCGGTTATGATTTGAAGGGTTTTTACGGGTGTTTATAAGGTGTTTTTAATATTGTTGAGAGTATGTCATTGTGAAGACGTGTGTTGTATGTTTTATAATGTGTTGTATCTAGTTCGTAATACTTTAACAGGAGAAGGGAGACCTTATTTATAGCAAACAGATGAGTCTGGGTTGAACCGAGGCGAAAAACCTGATGAAATGCTGTTTTCGGACATAGGCACGATCGTGCGTACCCTTGTAGGCACGATCGTGCCTGGCTGGCAGTAGCTGCTCGCCTTCAACCACATTTCAGGGGTAAGTCGCCCAACCGTTGGGCGACTTATAAGTCGTCAAACCGTTTGGCGACTTATAAGTCGCCCAACCGTTGGGCGACTTACCCCTGACCGTGGTTAAGGGCCAGCAGTATTTTGGTAAATACTTTTTTTCCAGCATTATTTCCGTAATTAATTAATTACTTAACATTAATTCGAAAAAAAACTCTAATTTATTCCTTGTAGAATAAAATTGATCTTTTTGATTGGACATTTGCCACAAAAATAATCGCAATCTCAGTTTCCTAAAGTCTTGATTTATTTTGGTATACCGAATTGATGAACACCCCTAGTTACTGCAAAATTTTTCTTGTTATTTTTTTTTAAAGAAAATTCGCAATGTCAAACATAGAATTTTGAAGTTTATGAATATGGTTGAAATGATAGGAGAGTTGCAATGTCAAACATAATATTTCTTCTCAAAAGTACCGAAATTCCCGAAAATGAAAATGACAACAAATTACTCACTATGTCCCTTTAAACGTTATCATATTTCACATTGTTGTGATGGTAAACTTTTATTAATGATTTTGATTAATATACTCTTGTGTAAGTTATCATGTCCATATTTTAATGAATATTTTTAAAAAAGAACATTTCCATATCATTTTCTAATCACAAATAATTTAATAGGGAGTATAAAAATATAGTATTACGTACTCCCTCCGTATTCTAAAGTTTGCTACACTTTCTTTTTTGGGATGTATTTAAAAGTTTGCTACACTTTCTCTTTTTAGTAAGTTTTTTCCTTTAAAAATACTCAACTACTCTTACTTTTTCCACTTTTTATCTTCTATTTCATACTTTTACACACTCTCTCCTACTTTTTCTACACTATTCATTACTCCTACTATTTTATCCTAAAACTTTGTGCCAAAACCTAATATAGAGAGCAACTAAATAGGAGGGAGTATTATATTGGTCATTGTTTGAGGGATGAATGCAATATGAAAGATGGAGTAAATCATTAAAAGGTAAAAATTACTCAAAAAGAAGATCTATCTTCTCATTTGTTTGAGAGCCGAGAGGACTCGAGGAGTACAACTTTTACACAGCTTCGTACGAAGCTTTCATTGCACTTTATTTGTTTGAGGAAAGTAAAATGAAACTCTGGAAACTTCACCCTTAATGACCAGAAAATTGGACCAACTTTAAAAAATACGGAGTGATACTCAACTTCAAAAATGACTTTTTATTGAGGATTTAAAAGTTTGACTCGAATAATAAATTTGAAACTACAATAAGTTTCACCTCTCCTTTATAATAGTAATTACAATTAAGAATTACTTCGTATTATCGTATATATTTAAAACTACAGTAAATTTGAGAGAAGCTCCGATTTTTCCTAGGGCGTGAGTCGCTAGGTCCGTTTTCTCTGATTTTTCTTCGTATAAAGACCGGCTTTCTTGTTTGCTTCGACGTCTTCACACCGAGATAGCAGCCTTAGCAGGTGGCCGGCATGAGTCTGACGGCTGGGTAGTGGCGTGAGGGATCGGGGTCTACTGCGGGAGCTGGTTTCTGGGTTCTGCCGCGGAAGAGAGGAGAGGAGAGCTCGAAGGACTAGGGCATCGAGATCGAAGGAGGACGACTACAGATGGAGATGACTGGAGTCGGTAAGCAGGGGATCGGAGATCAATTTCACGCATATGAGGAGAGCCGAGCAGTGCATGGTAGAGACAAATTTCAAGAGCAGATCAGCGGTGAACAAAAGGACAAGAACGATTTGGCGATTGTTGATGATGAGGAAAAGGCGGTCGTGTCGGAGGTAAACCGCTTTGGTGCAACAACAATCGGCGTGAGGGTCTGGACGCGCTTTGGAGTTTGCTTATTTATCTTTTCTGCATTTTAATTTCCAAGTTAAGTCGTTTGTGCGTTGTTGTTATTTTATTATTTGCTGTAAGACTTTTGCATTAGGTTTGGGGGAAGAGAGGTCTACGGTTATCGTTGTTTGCTTTACATTGTTCAAGTTAGGTCTAGCGAGTTATATTGTTTTGTCAAAGGTGATTAACTCAGAGTCTCGCCCAAGGAAGGATGGTTACATGTGGTCCTTTTACGATCGTGTACCCCTGTTGAATGCTATTTTAATGATATAAGCATCATTCAATAATAAAAACTACATTAAATTTGAAATGGATGTATATGGTAATTTTTTGAACATAAAAACAGACGTTACAAGATATGTTATGAGAACCGGATCGGTTGGGCGGTTCAACCCGGAAACCGACGACCGGCCCAGAGACCTGTCCGGTTGAGTGCAAAACGGCAAACTGGAAATAACCGGCGGCCCGACCGAACTCGGAACGAGCATGGACCGGTCATAAACCGGGAAGCCCGGAATTTGAACCCAAACCCGGATTACTTCAGCAAAATTCAAAGGCGCGGGGAAGGGATTTGAACCTTGGACCTGCAGGTTGCAAAAGTTAATACCAAACCAAGTAGACTGCTTCTTTGATGGGAAAAGAGCTCCTTTTTTTCTACTTACACTATACCGACTTAGCATTTTAGACAAACATTACAATTATAGATTATTAATTAAATAATAATAGCTAGACTAACACTACAATTATAGATTACTCCGTATTAATTAACAATATTAATAGATATTTGTAACTATTATTATACGAAGTATTAAAAAAATATTGCTTGTGTATGAAGTATTTATTGAATCATACAGTTAATTTTTTTATATAAATATTATATTTAGCTAGGGAAAATTATCAAATAGGTCATCGAACTTTCATAAAAAAGTCAATTAAGTCCTTCTATAGGAGACTCTGTCCGGTCGTCGCGATTTGGGGTGATTCCCGGTGGAATTTTTTGATGAAATTTTTTGAGAATCTTATTCATCAAGTCTAGTTTAATCATACCAAATTTCAACTAAAAATTTAACCGGGAGCGCATTCAAATTAATTCAAGAACGCAAAAATGCGTAGTTATCTTCACGAATTAATTTGAATGTGTTCCGGATTGAACTTTTAGCCGAAATTTGGTGTGAGTAAACTAGACTTGGTGAATAAGATGCTAAAAAAAAAAATCATCAAATAATTCCACCGGGAACTGCCCCAAATCGCGACGGACGGACAGAACCTCCTATAGAAAGACTAAATTGACCTTTTTATGAAAGTTTGAAGATCTATTTGACAATTTTCCCTATTTAGATATTATTCATTTTGAAATCACTTTATGTATTGGTACATTATTTTTTTATGTGATCTTAGAACCATTATTAATTTTGAATGAGTGTCTTTTCAAGCTACACTTTTAATCTAATATACTATCTCCGTCCCACTATGTTTGGGACAAAGAGTTGTGGCACAATTTTTTAAAAAAATGGAATTGTGTGGTTGGTATTGAATTGATAAAGTGTGAATAAAATAAGAGTGAATTGTAACCACCCAAATATTATCAAATATGGTATGAAACAAACTTAATGGGACGAACGAAAAAGGTAAAACTGAACAAAGTTAGAGGGCGGAGGGAGTATATAAGTGTGTGTGTATCTATATATTAATATGAAGAAATATTTTTTATAAATGTTGACCGGGATGAACCGGCGTTGACCGGGCTGACCCTTCCGGGTCTGGGTTGACCCTTGACCCGGTCTCTTGCCCGGGTCACCTCCCGGTCGGATTTTGACAACACAGGTTACAAGAGAGTTACTTTGAGAATTGAGATCGACATAAAGATAAATAAATAAGTAAACAAATATGGAGTATAGGTTAGTAAATTCACTTGGTAATTCGTAGACTTGACGTAGAGAGTTAATGATTTGTGATCTGAGAATAGTACATAGGCATCGTTTCGATCTCTGCACCTTTCGGCAAAAAATGACAATACTTTATGTAAATACCTTTTGTAAACATTTTTTGTTTACTTTATTAAAATACTTTGAGCCCGCTTGGCAACATTAAAATCGGCTGTATTGACTGATTCTGCTGAAATTTATGAAGTTCTGGCTAAAGTGACTGTATTGGCTGATTCTGCTAGTTCATGAAAAATTTATATTTAAAATATTTTTATTAATAAATAAAATAAAAAATTATATGAAAAAATAGTTGAAATGATCCTCTACAGTAACTTCAGCCAGTACAGCCAGAAAAGTAATTTCAACCTTACTTTTTCTGCTTATTACACAATTTAGTGCGTTAAATCAAAAAATACGTGTTTGATGAAAAAGCGAGCTGATAAGCCTAATAAGCCGAAAAAAGGGGCCACCAAACTTGCTCTTTATGTAAATACCTTTGTTTTAAATAGAACTGTCTATCACAGTCAAGAGTTGCTTTACAAATCACAAACATTAGTTTTATACACCAACATAGACATTTGGATACTCTAAGCAGACTATCAGAGTAACGTGCAAATCAATATTTATAACCCCACATTAGTTGCATGTGGTATGCATGAACAATTAATATATTTTTCAAGTTAGTTTTTTTTTTCACATAGACCCGATTTGTGAATAATATAATTAGCGAAAACTGTCAAATAGGTCCTCGAACTTTCATAAAAAGGTCAATTAAGTCCTTCTATAGGAGGTTCTGTCCGGCTGTCGCGATTTGAGGTAGTTCCCGGTGGAATTTTTTGATGAAATTTTTTGAACATCTTATTCACCAAGTCTAGTTTATTCATACCAATTTTCAGCTAAAATTTCAATCGGGAACA